AGCGGAGAGGGCACATACCTGTCCACCATGGAGTTGTCGGTGCTGCCTCAGGACAGAGACGCTTACTCTTGCCTTGTGGAGCACAGTGCCCTGGCCCAGCCCCTCTCGGTGGCCTGGGATGGCAGACAGGAAGCAGGGGCGGGGAGCACTGTGGGAACTCACCCCCAGTAGCCACCATCTCTGCCTGTCCTGAGAGAGATGAACTTCAGAAGTCACCATAAGTGGCATCAGCCAGGCCCAGAGTGTACAAGGCAGATAGGTGGGGATTCGGAGAGAGGAGACAGGAATGCTGGGCACTGAGCTGACTCTCGGGGCCAGGTTGCCTCACCTACCTTGCAAAATAATGGCTCCCAGTGCCTAATGTGTACAACCTAATAAACAATAACCTTGCCTAGCACAAAAGAGACTGGTGTTTTTCATTTTGGAATTCTTTAAAAATGAGAATCAGCTCTATCATTCCTCCTCTCCTAAGCATTCAACACATCTGAAATTCTTGGTTTCCACTGAAAGCCTGGGTATCTTGACCTGGGCAATCCCAAATGTACCTTAGGATCACCTGGTCCCTTGGGTACTGTCCAGGCTTCCATTGCTGATACACATACATGGGGCCATGGGCAGCCCTCTTCCTGTGATGACCCATGACTCTGCCAATTCTATAATACAAAATCAAGATCATTCTGTGACTCGGTTTCCCCAGAAGTCCTTCACTTCATTTAAAACATCATTCTCCACTCAAGCTACTCATCATTCCCCCATATCATATTGAACTTGGCCACACAAGTTGGCCAGGGCACAACTCAAGGAACCAGGAACTGGAGGTTCCTGAGGAACAAGGACCTGCGGTTCTTAGACTCCCTCCAAATCCCTCTGAGTGTGTTTGTTCAACCAAGTCATCAATCATAATACACAGGCTTAAAACCCAAAGGACAGAGCAGAACATTCACACTTTTTCATGAAGGCTCACCTGCATTGACCTGTGTTTTTCTCTTTTGAGGGACAAGAGCTTCATATACCTCCTATCCTCAGCCTCCCACTGTGGAGTTCCTTCAGCTGAGTTCTTTGAAAGAAACCATTTCCATGCTTCAGAATTCTCAGTACCATAGTATCTTTCTTAAAATCTAAATTTGAATGCTATGCCACTTTTTTTAATGCTTCTTCTCCAATCTGAAGATCAAAGCTGGGAAATTACTTCTTTACATGAAACCCACATTCTCTTCTTCTGGCACAAAAAAGTTAAAAGTCCTATTTGAACAGTAAAGAATGCTACAGAAGAAAAGTAGTCAAGAGGAAAAAATATAACAGTTGATACTTCAACATATGATGACACCTTCTACAAATAAAACAGAAAGGATAAACATTTCAGATCAAAGTCCATGTTCACAGCCCAGGACGGAAGATTAGAGTGTGAGATCTTGCCTTACCTACAACAGGAGAGATGAATGGAGCAGAATAGGGTAAGGAAAGCTCAGAATGATGGCGGCCACTGTTGTCCTAAATAACCATTACATACAGGGCACTGCTAAGCAGGCCCTGGCACGGACAGATGAGCCTGTGTGCCACCATCTGGAGTTGCTTATTCACATACAAGGCCATCATAAAATTAGGAACTGAATACTCTGAGGACCATGGTACCAGACAAGGACCCACTGCACCAAGTACACTTAGTAATGCACTTAGTAAAGCAATCATTAACTATAAATTTAATCTAAAATAAAAATGCTTTGAAGATATAACCATTTTAAAATAGGAAGATACTGGGTAACCTTGTAACCTATGAAGAGAAATCTAATGTATACTAGGATGATTAATAACATTACTGTGGCTGACTGTTACTGCAAAAGTATAAAAGAAATAAAGGGAAACCGGAAAACTGAACAGCTCCTTGAGGAAATATGCTTGCTATTCTCTAGAATTTTTGACTTTCCTGTAAATAAAAGTGAAATTGTTGATCTCTCATCCACTTCGCCGTTGACTGACTTTGGTAGGTTAGAGTCCCTGTCTGGTTGTGCACAGTGGTTTGAGTCCCTATCTGATTTTGCACAGGGGTTAGAGTCCCCACCTGACGGCCTAGGTGTCTGAATTTTGCATGAGCTTAGTTGTCAGTTCCAGAAGATCACCCTTTAGGTCATATCCTATTTGATTGGCCATATTATGGGCACACACCTATGACCAAGAAAAAGATGAGGCTTTACTGTAACACAGCCCGGCCTATGTACAATCTTAATAATAAAAAAATTAGCCATTAAATTGATCCTTAAATTACTATACTATTTTACAGGTAGAGCTCTTTTGTCAAAGATCAGGAAAATGGAACAAAATCTCCTATGTTCAAATTTTTATTTCTCTCTGTGTACACGCCTAGTATCTGTCTGTCTGAGTGTGTGGTAGTCATCTCTGTTTGTGTGTGTAGCATTTGTCTCTGTATGTGTATACACCTGGAGGAAAGCCTGTTGGGGCGAATCTTGTCTGATTGGGCCACTTCTGAGTATTACTCTCTGAGTAAAAGGAAATTAATATTCTATTGCAACACTATTTAGCCTATGTGTGTTTTAGGCTCTGAAAAAAGATGCCCTTTGAATGGTTCCTTAAATTATTATACTGTTTTATAGCTTAAATTATTTTGTCAACAATCAGGGAAATGAAATAAAATTCTATATGTGATAGTTTTGTTTTTTTTTAAAGATGGAGTCTCACTTTGTTGCCCTCAGTAGAGTGCTGTGGCATCATAGCTAACAGGAAACTCAAACTCTTGGGCTCAAGCGATTCTCTTGCCTCAGCCTCCCAAGTAACTGGGACTACAAGCTCTCACCACAATGCATGCCTATTATTTTTAGAGACAAGGTCTCACTCTTGCTCAGGCTGCTCTCAAACCCATGAGCTCAGGCAATCTACCTGCCTCGGCCTCCCAAAGCGTTACAGCTTTTTATGTCTTTACATAATACAAATGCTTAAAAAAGAAGGAAATCTTAAGTCAGCCACATGGGAGAAAAAGGTTATAGTTCAGGGTGAGGATGACCACTGTAAGCTGTGTTTCTGTGCTCCCCTTGGCTCCAGAAGGGGAGCTAAGAGAATCCACCTTCCTTACCCGAGGGAAGGGGATCTGGAGGTGGTATCCCCATCTAAAACTTGTCAGGGAACTCAATATACCAGGGAGCCAGTAAAGAGGAGGTATGTTTCACTAATTTACTTTTATTTTGCTTTCTTTTTACTTTACGCCCTGCTGAGGTTTAAATTTACTAGGCTTTCTGATCTACCCTCTGCCTGCTTTCATCGTCTCCACTTTCCAAATAAGGTGTCTCCTTCCCAATTTAGATCCTGACATAAGGGAGAGATAATTAATCCTGACAGCGCACTTCATTTCCCAGTGGGTCCCCTGATATTTGGCATAAACTCAAAAAACTTGCAAAGGATCCTCAAACTCCACAAATGGAATTCCAAACCTGTCCTTCAAAGGTCTTTAGATGAGTGGATGGAGACAGAGAGAAGAGAGAGAGGAGATAGGGCCAGCAGCGGGCCTCAGGAGCAGAAAGAAGTTTTCAAATGATGGCTAACACTATGGTAGAAATTTTTAGAGGCAAAGGTACTCTGGGGGCTCAGGCAAAAGATGTCAAAAATGCACCCTAATCTGGGACTGCACCGCTTCTTCTGCAGCCGGCTGAGTCTCTGGACAGAAATACACCAGGGAGCAGAGTTCATACCCAGAACTAGCAGAGTCTCCCTCCCCAAACCAGCATCCTCTATACCCACGGACCCTCTAGGACTACTTCAGGCTAATGAACAGACCTCAGCCTCAGAACAAGCTCAACTTCATCACACCAGGATGGATCAGCCTCGGGTAACTTTCTCCGTTACAGAGGCTATCTGCTTGCATCACTGGTCACCACCCGATATCAACATTTGCAACAACCAGACATCCATTTATATGAAAACAACCACAATTATGAACAACTGCGCCCCATTTACTGCAGCCCTCTGGACAGACATCCACTCCCGCCCTAACAAAGCTGATTGCAGAGCCCACTACTCACTCACCCCCTTTTTAGCAAGAAACAGAGCAGTCAGTGACCCATTTCCTAAAAAAATGGGCTCTACAAATCAGAAGGGAAATGTTGAGTTATGCAGTTAGTTAGACATACACAGGGCAAGTGGTGGATATAGCTAGGCTATTTTGACTATTTTGGACCGGCTTGAAATAGGAGGGCCTGAGTTGTCATACTGAGTTAACATGAAAATGGGGCTGTTCAAGACCTTACAAGTAGGCTCCCTTAGGATAGAAACTGATCAATGTCCCAGAGACTTTCTGACATGGACAGACAGATGTGCTCATATATCATAGTCACTTGAGTTATTTTGAAAACAGCCTGATTAGGACCCTAGGGATGCACTTAGTAGTGACTAACTCTAAATTTAATTTAAATAAAAACGCCTGGAAGATACAACCATTTTAAGATAGGGAGATAGTTTGTAACCTTGTAACCTATGAAGAAAAATCTGTTTAATGTATACTATGATGATTAATAGCATTACTGATGCTTAATAATAATTATTTTTATGTAGGTATATATATAAATAATTGGGAACCATTACATAAAAACATCAAAAGATGTTTTCTTTCTAAGTACAATAACCCCAAGTAACTCTTTTGTCAACTTCATGAGGTATTGAACACCAATCGTTAACACACCCAGATCTCCTATATAACCAGACAACCAACCTGTTCTTTTTTTTTTTGTAGAGACAGAGTCTCACTTTATTGGCCTTGGTAGAGCGCCATGGCATCACACAGCTCACAGTAACCTCCAGCTCCTGGGCATAGGTGATTCTCTTGCCTCAGCCTCCCAAGTAGCTGGGACCACAGGCGCCCACCACACCTGGCTATTTTTTTGTTGCAGTTTGGCCAGGACCGGGTTTGAACCCACAACCCTCTGTATATGGGGCTGGCACCCTACCCACTGAGCCACAGGCACCGCCCAACCACCCTGTTCTTATGCTTATACACATTCTCAAGCTGCCTAAAGGACGGTTTGTCTTTGTAAGCCCCAAGCTTAGTCTTATGTCCTAGTTAATAGCACTGGCAGGCCCTCCACTACTGGACATCTTACTCCTTACCTGCCCAGTATACAGGACATACAGCACTTATTGGACACACCCAGCAGGTATCTTGGGAACTACGTCTCCCCAGTGCCTGCCATTGTGATGTGCACTGTTCAGTCCTGCTGAGTATATCTTCTTATCCATTTTGGGGGTGCCTGTTATAACTATCAGTCTTAATAGTCAGATTAGCTGCTTGGCCTGTGCTATGACAAGAACCTTAAATACTACTCCTCAAGCTATACATGTTATTAGCACAAAATTAGGACAGGTTAGGAAAGCAGTCTTTAAAAATTGGGCTGCACTAGGCT